CCCCAAAACCCCAAAACCCCAAAACCCCAAAACCCCTCAGATTATAACTACATGCAATTTAGAACTAAATCAAATAATAAAATATGGCAAAAAATGGCAGGAGATCTCGAAGTAGAATTATTGCATAATAAAGAATTGTAGGTAGGTCTCAAGAGAAAAAATCAGGATCAAGAAGAAGTAGAGATAGAAGAGATGATAAGGGTAGAGAAAGAGATAGAGAGGATAAGCATGTCAGTCATAGAAGGTCTAGGTCTCCAAGAGATAGATCTCCTAGAAGAAGGGATAGAGATAGGCGACATGTTGAAGAGGAGAGGCACGGTAGAAACAGGGATTACAGAAGAGATGATAGGCATTAAGATGACCAAAGAAATAGGAAAAAGCAGGAGAGAAGGAAAGGATCATCAGAAGAGTCAAAGCATCGCGTGGTCTCTGATGATGAGAAATCAAGCGATTTGCACTCAAGTAGCACAAGTAAAACCCCTGAGAGATATTAAGGCATTGATGAAATGGAGGTTACTGAGGGATATAAACTCTATCAGGAAAGAAGAAAGTAAAGAAAGCAAGAGGAAGAAAAAAAGGCAGCAGCTTTAATTGAAGGCATGGAAGGTGGTCATAAAGTTAGAAAGGTAGAATTAAAGGATTTCCCCAACTACAAGAGAAAATTAGTAGTTCAAAATCTACCGCTTGACCTGAGTGAAGACGATATAATGAACTACTTCTTTACTATATTGTCCTCTTTCAGCAAGGAAGAATACTAGAAAAATCCAATCATGTCTGTTATTAGATATAAAGATTTGGGATTCGTAACTCTAGAGTTCAGAAAAAGAGAAGACGGAGAGGTTTGCTTGAGTTTGGATGGAACTGATTTCAAATCTGGATATAAGATGAGAATTATGAGAGTAAAGAGATTTATTGATGACTGGAATGCTGACATTGAGAAGGGTAAAAATCCAATTGACTCAATGACCAAAGCCAAAGGTTCCTCCTTATTCACAGCTGGAGGAATTTTAGAAACTGAGACTAATGAAAAGAAAAATAAGAAGGATAAACATGAAGAGGTTGATAACAGAATCTATATGGGTAATATTCCAACAACAATGTCAGACATGGAGGTTAGAAAAATGTGTGAGTCATTTGGAAGACTTAAATCTTTTAACCTTGTAAAAGATCCTATGAATCCAGATATTAATAAAGGATACTCGTTCTTTGAATATGTTGATGAGAGATCTATCGATAAAGCTATCAAAGCCCTCAACGGGCTTGACTTCAAGGAAAAGAAGCTTAAGGTTCAAAGAGCCTCTACTCATCAAAAGCCAACTTAGGCTCAATAATAAATCGGGATGTATAAAAATGTTCCCGACGAAAAAAGACTTCCAATTCCTTTATTTGCAATGACACCTAGTAGAGTAGTCTAGTTTCTTAATATGATATCCGTCGAAGATCTATTTGATGAGGATGAGATATTTTAAGTTAAAGATGATTTACTATAAGAATGTAAAAACTATGGCGAGATTATCAGTCTAGAAATCCCTAAGCCTGACGAAAAGGGAAATGCTACTTATGGAGTAGGCAAGATATTTGTGAAGTTTAATCACATTGTAGCTGCTAAATAAGCAAGATATAAACTATCAGGGAGAAAGTATAATGGAAGAACTATCGTAGTGTCGTTCTATCCAGAGCATTACTTTGATATCAAAGAATTCTCAATCATATGATTAATTAATTAAATCTTGAACTCTTAATTTCTTTAAATAAGGGGTTTTGGGGTTTTGGGGTTTTGGGGTTTTGGGG